ACCCTACATAGAGACACCTACTCCAACTGAAAGTACTACCATCCAAACTGAAACATACACTACAGCACCCAGTGACTGCTATATTTGCAAATGGTCAAATTGGATTAACAATCACTACCCCGCACCTGATAGAGATGGAGATTATGAAACATTAGCAAATATTTCTGCTCCAGATTTGAGTGTTTGTAGAAAACCACTAGAAATTCAATGTCGATCCAAAATGTATAAAGATGTGCCTTTAAAAGATTTAAATCAAAATGTAATCTGCAGTCCTACTGATGGTCTAATCTGTCTTAATAAGGATCAAACACCTCCAAAATGTCTAGATTATGAAATTCGGGTAAGATGTTGCACTTACAATATTTTAGATCCGAAATGTCAAATTAGCACAACAACAACAACAATTCATTCAGAAACATCTACCCCAACAATGGAGCCTGAAAAATCCACATCAATAATTACACCAAAACCTACAACACCTCATACAGAAACTGCAACTACTGGCACTAAAAAACCTGAAACTACAACCATAATTACAGAAAAAGTCTCAACAACACCTTACATAGAGACACCCACTCCAACAATGGAAACTGAGAGAAACACAACAATGTTCAGAGAAAAATCCACAACACCTCATATAGAAATTGTAACCCGCACCACTGAGAAACCAAAGACTGCACCAGTAATTACAGGCAAAAAACCAACAACACCCTACGTTGAGACACCCACTCCAACAAAGGAGACTGGAAAACCCACAACAATAATTACACCAAAACCTACAACACCTCATACAGAAACTACTACTACTGGCACTAAAACACCTGAAGCCACAACAATTATAACAGAAAAAGTCTCCACAACACCATACATAGAGACACCCACTCCAACAATGCAGACTGAAAAATCCACACCAATAATTACACCAAAACCTACAACACCTCATACAGAAACTGCAACCACTGGCACTAAAACACATGAAGCCACAACCATTATAACAGAAAATGTCTCCACAACACCCTACATAGAGACACCTACTCCAACTGAAAGTACTACCATCAAAACTGAAGCATACACTACAGCACCCAGTGACTGCTATATTTGCAAATGGTCAAATTGGATTAACAATCACTACCCCGCACCTGATAGAGATGGAGATTATGAAACATTAGCAAATATTTCTGCTCCAGATTTGAGTGTTTGTAGAAAACCACTAGAAATTCAATGTCGATCCAAAATGTATAAAGATGTGCCTTTAAAAGATTTAAATCAAAATGTAATCTGCAGTCCTACTGATGGTCTAATCTGTCTTAATAAGGATCAAACACCTCCAAAATGTCTAGATTATGAAATTCGGGTAAGATGTTGCACTTACATCGGCGGGGATTGCACAACAACAACTCATACAGAAACTACAACTACTGGCTCTACAACACCTGAAACCACAACTATTATTACAGAAAGCGTCTCCACAACACCCTACATAGAGACACCAACTCCAACAATGGAGACTGGAAAACCCACAACAATAATTACACCAAAACCTACAACACCTCATACAGAAACTACTACTACTGGCACTAAAACACCTGAAACCACAACCATTATAACAGAAAAAGTCTCCACAACACCCTACATAGAGACACAACTCCAACAATGGAGACTGGAAAATCCACAACAATAATTACACCAAAACCTACAACACCTCATTTAGAAACTGCAACAACCGGCACCAAAACACCTGAAACCACAATCATAATTACAGAAAAAGTCTTCACAACACCCTACATAGAGACACCATCTCCAACTGAAAGTACTACCATCAAAACTGAAACATACACTACAGCACCCAGTGACTGCTATATTTGCAAATGGTCAAATTGGATTAACAATCACTACCCCGCACCTGATAGAGATGGAGATTATGAAACATTAAAAAACATTTCTGCTCCAGATTTGAGTGTTTGTAGAAAACCACTAGAAATTCAATGTCGATCCAAAATATATAAAGATGTGCCTTTAAAAGATTTAAATCAAAATGTAATCTGCAGTCCTACTGATGGTCTAATCTGTCTTAATAAGGATCAAACACCTCCAAAATGTCTAGATTATGAAATTCGGGTAAGATGTTGCACTTACATCGGTGGGCATTGCACAACAACAACTCATACAGAAACTTCAACTACCAGCACTACAACACCTGAAAGCACAACTATTATTACAGAAAGCGTCTCCACAACACCATACATAGAGACACCCACTCCAACAATGGAGACTGAAAAATCCACACCAATAATTACACCAAAACCTACAACACCTCATACAGAAACTGCAACTACTGGCACTAAAAACCTGAAACTACAACCATAATTACAGAAAAAGTCTCCACAACACCTTACATAGAGACACCTACTCCAACTGAAAGTACTACCATCAAAACTGAAGCATACACTACAGCACCCAGTGACTGCTATATTTGCAAATGGTCAAATTGGATTAACAATCACTACCCCGCACCTGATAGAGATGGAGATTATGAAACATTAGCAAATATTTCTGCTCCAGATTTGAGTGTTTGTAGAAAACCACTAGAAATTCAATGTCGATCCACAAAATATAAATCTTTGCCTTTAAAAAGATTTAAATCAAAATGTTATCTGCAGTCCTACTGATGGTCTAATCTGTCTTAATAAGGATCAAACACCTCCAAAATGTCTAGATTATGAAATTCGGGTAAGATGTTGCACTTACATCGGCGGGGATTGCACAACAACAACTCATACAGAAACTACAACTACCGGCTCTACAACACCTGAAACCACAACTATTATTACAGAAAGCGTCTCCACAACACCCTACATTGAGACACAAACTCCAACAATGGAGACTGGAAAACCCACAACAATAATTACACCAAAACCTACAACACCTCATACAGAAACTACTACTACTGGCACTAAAACACCTGAAACCACAACCATTATAACAGAAAAAGTCTCCACAACACCCTACATAGAGACACCAACTCCAACAATGGAGACTGGAAAATCCACAACAATAATTACACCAAAACCTACAACACCTCATTTAGAAACTGCAACTACTGGCACTAAAAAACCTGAAACTACAACCATAATTACAGAAAAAGTCTCAACAACACCCTACATAGAGACACCCACTCCAACAATGCAGACTGAAAAATCCACACCAATAATTACACCAAAACCTACAACACCTCATACAGAAACTGCAACTACTGGCACTAAAAAACCTGAAACTACAACCATAATTACAGAAAAATTCTCCACAACACCTTACATAGAGACACCCACCCCAACAACAGAGGCTGAGAGAAAAACAACAATGTTTAAAGAAACATCCACAACGATTCATATAGAAATTGTAACCCAGAGCACTGAAAGACCAAAGACTGCACCAGTAATTACAGGTAAAAAACCAACAACACCCTACGTTGAGACACCCACTCCAACAAAGGAGACTGGAAAACCCACAATAATTACACCAAAACCTACAACACCTCATACAGAAACTACTACTACTGGCACTAAAACACCTGAAGCCACAACAATTATAACAGAAAAAGTCTCCACAACACCCTACATAGAGACAGCAACTCCAACAATGGAGCCTGAAAAATCCACATCAATAATTACACCAAAACCTACAACACCTCATACAGAAACTGCAACTACTGGCACTAAAAAACCTGAAACTACAACCATAATTACAGAAAAAGTCTCTACAACACCTTACATAGAGACACCTACTCCAACTGAAAGTACTACCATCAAAACTGAAGCATACACTACAGCACCCAGTGACTGCTATATTTGCAAATGGTCAAATTGGATTAACAATCACTACCCCGCACCTGATAGAGATGGAGATTATGAAACATTAGCAAATATTTCTGCTCCAGATTTGAGTGTTTGTAGAAAACCACTAGAAATTCAATGTCGATCCAAAATGTATAAAGATGTGCCTTTAAAAGATTTAAATCAAAATGTAATCTGCAGTCCTACTGATGGTCTAATCTGTCTTAATAAGGATCAAACACCTCCAAAATGTCTAGATTATGAAATTCGGGTAAGATGTTGCACTTACATCGGCGGGGATTGCACAACAACAACTCATACAGAAACTACAACTACCGGCTCTACAACACCTAAAACCACAACTATTATTACAGAAAGCGTCTCCACAACACCCTACATAGAGACACCAACTCCAACAATGGAGACTGGAAAACCCACAACAATAATTACACCAAAACCTACAACACCTCATACAGAAACTACTACTACTGGCACTAAAACACCTGAAACCACAACCATTATAACAGAAAAAGTCTCCACAACACCCTACATAGAGACACCAACTCCAACAATGGAGACTGAAAAATCCACAACAATAATTACACCAAAACCTACAACACCTCATACAGAAACTGCAACTACTGGCACTAAAAAACCTGAAACTACAACCATAATTACAGAAAAAGTCTCAACAACACCATACATAGAGACACCTACTCCAACAATGCAGACTGAAAAATCCACACCAATAATTACACCAAAACCTACAACACCTCATACAGAAACTGCAACTACTGGCACTAAAAAACCTGAAACTACAACCATAATTACAGAAAAAGTCTCCACAACACCCTACATTGAGACACCAACTACAACAATGGAAACTGGAAAATCCACAACAATAATTACACCAAAACCTACAACACCTCATGTAGAAACTACTACTACCGGATCTAAAACACCTGAAACCACAACCATAATTACAGAAAAAGTCTCTACAACACCATACATAAAGACACCAACTCCAACAATGCAGACTGAAAAATCCACACCAATAATTACACCAAAACCTACAACACCTCATACAGAAACTGCAACTACTGGCACTAAAAAACCTGAAACTACAACCATAATTACAGAAAAAGTCTCAACAACACCTTACATAGACACCTACTCCAACAATGGAGACTGAAAAATCCACATCAATAATTACACCAAAACCTACAACACCTCATACAGAAACTGCAACTACTGGCACTAAAAAACCTGAAACTACAACCATAATTACAGAAAAAGTCTCAACAACACCATACATAGAGACACCTACTCCAACAATGCAGACTGAAAAATCCACACCAATAATTACACCAAAACCTACAACACCTCATACAGAAACTGCAACTACTGGCACTAAAAATCCTGAAACTACAACCATAATTACAGAAAAAGTCTCTACAACACCATACATAGAGACACCCACTCCAACAATGCAGACTGAAAAATCCACACCAATAATTACACCAAAACCTACAACACCTCATACAGAAACTGCAACTACTGGCACTAAAAAACCTGAAACTACAACCATAATTACAGAAAAAGTCTCAACAACACCATACATAGAGACACCTACTCCAACAATGCAGACTGAAAAATCCACACCAATAATTACACCAAAACCTACAACACCTCATACAGAAACTGCAACTACTGGCACTAAAACACCTGAAGCCACAACAATTATAACAGAAAAAGTCTCCACAACACCCTACATAGAGACACCAACTCCAACAACAGAGGCTGAGAGAAAAACAACAATGTTTAAAGAAACATCCACAACGCTTCGCCTTGTAACCCACAGCACTGAAAGACCAAAGACTGCACCAGTAATAACAGGCAAAAAACCCACAACACCCTACATAGAGACACCTACTCCAACAATGAAGACTGGAAAACCCACAACAATAATTACACCAAAACCTACAACACCTCATACAGAACTACTACTACTGGCACTAAAACACCTGAAGCCACAACAATTATAACAGAAAAAGTCTCCACAACACCCTACATAGAGACAGCAACTCCAACAATGGAGCCTGAAAAATCCACATCAATAATTACACCAAAACCTACAACACCTCATACAGAAACTGCAACTACCGGCACTAAAACACATGAAGCCACAACCATTATAACAGAAAATGTCTCCACAACACCCTACATAGAGACACCTACTCCAACTGAAAGTACTACCATCAAAACTGAAGCATACACTACAGCACCCAGTGACTGCTATATTTGCAAATGGTCAAATTGGATTAACAATCACTACCCCGCACCTGATAGAGATGGAGATTATGAAACATTAGCAAATATTTCTGCTCCAGATTTGAGTGTTTGTAGAAAACCACTAGAAATTCAATGTCGATCCAAAATGTATAAAGATGTGCCTTTAAAAGATTTAAATCAAAATGTAATCTGCAGTCCTACTGATGGTCTAATCTGTCTTAATAAGGATCAAACACCTCCAAAATGTCTAGATTATGAAATTCGGGTAAGATGTTGCACTTACATCGGCGGGGATTGCACAACAACAACTCATACAGAAACTACAACTACCGGCTCTACAACACCTAAAACCACAACTATTATTACAGAAAGCGTCTCCACAACACCCTACATAGAGACACCAACTCCAACAATGGAGACTGGAAAACCCACAACAATAATTACACCAAAACCTACAACACCTCATACAGAAACTACTACTACTGGCACTAAAACACCTGAAACCACAACCATTATAACAGAAAAAGTCTCCACAACACCCTACATAGAGACACCAACTCCAACAATGGAGACTGGAAAATCCACAACAATAATTACACCAAAACCTACAACACCTCATACAGAAACTGCAACTACTGGCACTAAAAAACCTGAAACTACAACCATAATTACAGAAAAAGTCTCAACAACACCATACATAGAGACACCTACTCCAACAATGCAGACTGAAAAATCCACACCAATAATTACACCAAAACCTACAACACCTCATACAGAACTACTACTACTGGCACTAAAACACCTGAAACCACAATCATAATTACAGAAAAAGTCTCCACAACACCCTACATTGAGACACCAACTACAACAATGGAAACTGGAAAATCCACAACAATAATTACACCAAAACCTACAACACCTCATGTAGAAAACTACTACTACCGGATCTAAAACACCTGAAACCACAATCATAATTACAGAAAAAGTCTCCACAACACCCTACATAGAGACACCAACTCCAACAATGGAGACTGGAAAATCCACAACAATAATTACACCAAAACCTACAACACCTCATACAGAAACTGCAACTACTGGCACTAAAAAACCTGAAACTACAACCATAATTACAGAAAAAGTCTCAACAACACCATACATAGAGACACCTACTCCAACAATGCAGACTGAAAAATCCACACCAATAATTACACCAAAACCTACAACACCTCATACAGAAACTGCAACTACTGGCACTAAAACACCTGAAGCCACAACAATTATAACAGAAAAAGTCTCCACAACACCCTACATAGAGACACCAACTCCAACAACAGAGGCTGAGAGAAAACAACAATGTTTAAAGAAACATCCACAACGCTTCGCCTTGTAACCCACAGCACTGAAAGACCAAAGACTGCACCAGTAATAACAGGCAAAAAACCCACAACACCCTACATAGAGACACCTACTCCAACAATGAAGACTGGAAAACCCACAACAATAATTACACCAAAAACCTACAACACCCTCATACAGAAACTACTACTACTGGCACTAAAACACCTGAAGCCACAACAATTATAACAGAAAAAGTCTCCACAACATCTTATGTAGAATCACGTAGCACAACAACGGAGACTGGAAAACCCACAACTACAATTGTTATTGAAAAATCTACAACACCTTATATCGAAAAATCTAGCTCCTTCATCACTGGAAAAACCACATCAGAAATCACTGCAAGTCAGTCAACTACTGTGGTAATAACAGAGAAACACAGTTTTGAAACTACAACTAGCAGAACGACTTTGTGCTCTTGCACATACATGAATCAGGCTTTCTCACCTGGTAAGCTTTGTTCTTTTTTCATCATTCATTGTTGCTATACTTGATAGCTATTTAAGTTTAATTAACAAATAATCGAATTGTCATTGGGCCCTGGTGACACTCAGATTCTGTGGTTCTGAGAGCAGAGGGAAAGGGGAATAATTGTAAAAGGGGCTAGGTATTAAAGGATGGGAACTGGGTGAGGTTCATGTCACCCCCCACAAAATGCCAATTTCACCCATATGGAAAATAGCCACTGTACAGATAGTTTCACCTGGTTTTACTCTTGTATTTATTAGCAGAATAAATACAGATGCAAATGATGCTCATTTTGCCATCGTATTCTTACTTGATGAGGGCAATGTTGAACTGTTTATGAAATATTCTATTATGATTTATCAAGAAAATAACATATCAACAATTTCCATTTTTTTCTGGCATAATTTATTAATTTTATCTCAAACTTTTCTTTAAACTGTACATTAGGAAGCTTCATGTACAACAAGACTAATGGAGATGGCTATTGTTTCACTGCATACTGCAGTTTGAACTGTAGTGTTGAAAAGCATGCCAGACTGTGTCACACAACAACTCCGCCAAGTCCTCCACCTTCCACAACGAGGGCTGAAAGTACAAAACACACCGTCAAACCAACACCGACTGTGACAGACTGCCAATTTCTTACACCACCAAGAAAGGTAACCAGCCTTATATACTGTACGTACTAAAAATAGTGTTGATTTAAAAAAATACAGCTGAGAAGATCTGTAAAATTAATTATTAATTAATTTGCTTGACCTTGTTGGCAAATGTTGGCAAAAAAACTTGCTCGATATACTGCAGCAAGCAAAAAATATATTTTCTAGTTTACAATCTCTTCTTCTGATCAGATTACATTGCCTTTAATGGTTTGACCACCATGACCAACTGTTTAATAAAATGTAAACAAGCATTCAAATTAACGCCAATACGATTTTGTATTGTACAACTTGGATGTATGTCTGGAGAGAGTTTAAATATAAAGACAGTGGTTGTATATTGCTGAAAGTATTTATTTTACAGGATGGAGAATCCTGGAATCCAGACAAATGCACCAAAAGCACCTGTGAGAAAGGAAAAGAGGTCAGAGAACATGTGCCATGTAAATCAGTAACCAAACCAGTTTGTGACAATGGTTTTGAACCTGTTAAGGTTTTTGATGAAGGAGGCTGCTGTTTTCACTATGAGTGCAAATGTGAGTTTGATAAAAAAATTTCAGAGCTCCAGATAGCTACATTTTTTTTGTGATTAAACACAATTTAATCTTAATGTAATGTTTTCAGGTCTTTGTACAGGCTGGGGAGATCCCCATTACAATACATTTGATGGCCAATACTACAGTTTCCAGGAAAACTGCACATACGTCCTGGTCAAAGAGATAATTCCCAAATACAACTTAAGAATTCTTATTGACAATGAAAACTGTGATCCTTCTGGAACTGTGACATGCCCCAAAGCTTTGATTGTATATTACAAAAACTATGTAGTAACTCTTACACAGGAGAGAGAGCCAGAATTTCAGAATTTGGTACGTATGGCTATCTCTAACCTTCTCCACATATGTTTGTACTCCATAAATGTAATCATGCTTTTTTTTCACCTGTCATTCATGTTTAGATATATGTTAATGAAAAGAAAGTGACTCCAACCTACTCAAATGAGGACTTCATTATTACAAGCTCAGGAATTTCGATGGTTCTTAAAATCCCAAAAATAGAAGCCGTTGTTTTATTCTCTGGGCTTCAGTTCAGTGTTGAGTTGCCATTTTCATTTTTCCACAACAACACAGAAGGACAGTGTGGTAAGCAACCCTATAACTTGTGACAAACTAAAAATAAATGGTGATTCTTATCGTCTTTGTAGGTAGAAAAATATAATGTAATATAAATATCAATATAATTATCAATGGATAAATGCTTTTAGTTGAAATCACTACACCTCCCAAAGGAAACTTTAATTTCTAGCTTTATGCAAGAGATAATGAGAGGGAAAACTCTCGCTGCACAATACCACAATGAGGAAAACAGTCAATACAAAAGCCTCCTCACCCCTGCCAGTCTTCATGTTTTAAAAACAATGGTCCATAATGAACCCTTTCAGCACCTTTAATGTGATACACATCCTGTACTATTCAACTGAAGAACAAACTAATCTGCCCGAGCTAAAAATGTAAAAATGAAAGAAAGGATAGAGTGTTGAATACCAAGATTACACTTCAAATAAATAGCATGAACATTTATATTAGGGATGTTAGAAATATTTTCTATTTTTGAGTTTGTAATCTATTTCCTGTGGATGTTTCTTCTTTTTAACAAGGCTACTGTGACAATAATAAGACAAATGACTGCAGGTTACCAAATGGTAAAATTCATCCATTATGCTCTGAGATGGCATATGATTGGCATGTAAACGTTAAGAATAAACCATACTGTGAGTCCAAACCTACTCGACCTCCTCCTCCACCACCTGGGCCAACGAAAACACCATGCAAACCTGCCCTCTGTGAAATCATAAACCACGAGTGAGAATTTACAAAAAATTGTTGAACATGTGAAAACATTTTTCTGTAAACCCAATTTAACTTGTTTTATTTTCATTTTCACAATAAGGATGTTTAAAAGCTGCCACAAAAAAATTGCGCCCGATTCATATTATGAGGCTTGTAAATTTGACGTATGCCACATGCCAAATACCACCGTGGGCTGCACCAGTCTGGCAGCATATGCCACGATGTGTGCTGAGGCATCTGTCTGTATAGACTGGAGGAACCTGACTAAAGGAGAATGCGGTAAGACGATTTTGCTTGTGTAGAAATTAATTTCCTTTCAAATGAAATTTTCCATGCATGTTATTGTTAATGGAATATACTTATTTTTGTTGCAGACTATAAATGTCCACCAAATAAAGTATACAAGGCCTGTGGGCCAAGTATCGTTGAAACGTGCAATGCAGGGTAAGGACACTGTTTTTGCAGTTTATAATTGAAAACTGACAAACAACAGTGAAAGGACATTTTTTTGCATTTTAGAATGTCTGTCTGCTTAACATTGACTTATGCAAGCAATAAACCTACTAACACATTCACTTGTCTTTTATAATCAGAATGTACAAATACTGACTAGTGAATTCTCAAATACACTTTTGCTTCAAACAAACCATTCTCAAATTCACATTGACAAGGAACTTTCTATCCATTGTGGCTGCCAACAGTTTTTATCAACACCAACAAAAAATATTTGACAATAAAGTATCACATACAGGTTAAATATTTTCTAATTGTCATTAAGAAAAAAAGTCAAGAACATTGAAGGAACTATCCAATCAACTGATAATCATTCACTTTGCAGTTTCAAAGTCTAGAATTTTTAGCACCAGGAGTGGTGTAATTTGGTTTCTGTCCTGTAATCGGTCAAAACCAGAGAATAGTTCAACACAGATGATGTTTTGTAGGTGATTTAAACAGCACTACCAGCCTGTGATAGAGCTACATCTGACTTCCTTCATATCTGAACCCAGACATATCCCCTCGAAAGGAATAAAACAAACTATGTTGAAATAATACATTTTCAAAGTAATTTTATCTATTGTTATGCCAACCAGTTTATAATATCCCCAAGCGATATTAAATTGAAACATAACTGTGGTCCCAAACACAGTTTATAGTTAGCAGTTATACTGTAAAGCAGAGCAGTTTTCTGAAAGTTATCCATGTAACATGAAGAGTCATCTCTGTGATTGCTTTTGTTCCTAGTGTATTTATAATGTTTGACAAAGTGTTTAACTAAAGCAACATGGTGAACGGTGAATCAGTGGTAACATTTAAGTAAGAGTCCTTGGAAATATTTATTTTTCGTTTGGGATATTTCCTAATGCTTACTTGAATGCACTGAGCTGCATTGTGATTCCATTGTTCTGGACAAGTTGGAAGTTGAATTTTAACTGTCATTTGTTTTACATTCAGATACAATAACAAGCTCAAAAAGCAGTGTGCCGGAGAAGAAGCTATTTGCAATGGATTAGTGGAGGGATGTTTCTGCCCTCAGGGGACGATGCTGTTTGATTCAGGCTCTGATACCTGTGTCTCATCCTGTAAGAAGAGTTTTTGTTCTTTTCCAGAATAATGAACAATGTATTTTTGTTTAATATTCAATTAAACCATTTTATTGTTTATTAAGGTTGCACTGGACCTGCTGGTGAACCTAAAAAGGTATATATTCTCATACACTGTCTTTTTTTTTATCTGTTTGTCTATTGCTGTAATGTATTTTTTTCCTAATATTAACAGATTGGTGACACATGGAAAAGTGGCTGCCAGCAATGCAGTTGTGACAAAAATTCTCTGAGTGTTAAGTGTGAGCCTCTGGTTTGCCCGACACAAGAACCAATAAAGTGCACAGAGGATGGTGAGGTGTTGGTGAACCGAACAGTTAACTGCTGCCAAGAACTGACGTGTGGTAAGCAATTTTAATTCGTAAAACTGCATTGATGACATATAACGTGTTAGCGAAAAGAATCTAAATCAACTAACTGACATTCCCCATGTTCACCAACAGAGTGTGATAGAAAACACTGTTCGTCACAGACACTAAAGTGTGAACTTGGCTTTGAGTTAAATGTCAAAGTTTCCAATGTAAGCTGCTGCCCGGTCTTCACCTGTGGTATGTTTCTTACTGTCACTACTCATCATTATTTATTACTGATAATAGTAACAATTATTTCCCAAAAAGTATGAAAAATCATCTTTATATTGATTTCATCTAGTCAATTATTGTAAATACCCCACACTGTTTAATTCAGCTTTCCATCATTACCTTTTTCCCATGTTAACTTTCTCTCATTAAACAACCCAGCAGTTTTTCAAATGCAAAAACTAATCTTAATATCAACATAATCCCATTTATTTTCTTGTGTAGAACCAAAAGATGTATGTGTCTACAATGATACAGAGTACAAGGTAAAAGCAGTTTTTTTGCTGTTTTAATATGTAGTACCTTGCATGTATAAATACTTTTCATTGTGTTTCCAACAGCCAGGTACAAACTTTTCCAAGAACCCATGTGAACACTGCCACTGCACCAGCAAACAAGACCCAAAGACTAAGCTGAACACCATAGAGTGTCAGCAAGTACAGTGTAACATCATTTGTAAAGAGGTAATTAGATGATGTTAATGCCAGATAAGTTGTATATTGGATAGAAATATTTTACATTATAGAAAACGTTGCTCATAAGATCAGATAAGTAACTTACAAATTTATTTTCTAAATATTAAAAGGTGATGCTCTACGTATGACTATGTGTGTCAGTTTGGTTTTGGTACTAATAGCATCAGCTTTATAATGGCTCAACATTTCTAAGTTATTTCAAGTCATACTCTATAATTTAGATTATTTTTCCTGATACATTTTTTGACAAAATGTGCAATTATCCTGTTCAATAAATTTTGATGCATGTTAGTGTTGCAATGGAATGGATGTTATTTTATATCTTATTGCCAGATAGCATTCCTTTGCTAGAACTAGAAGTTGTTAAAATTACATAGACTAAATTATTTCCAATTAGAAACTTATTAAACTGTATATTTTTATAGGGTTACATGCATGTGGATCAGCCTGGAGAATGCTGTGGATCATGTAAACAGACGCACTGTATTTTTGATGTCCCTGGCTTGAACTCACCAGTGATTCTTAAGGTGATTAAAGTACAAAAAAATGCTTAACAGCTTGCAACCTTCATCTCAGTTGTAAGTCAGTTGTGACAACACTAACCCTACTCTTCTACGCATGTTCACAGCCTTCACAATCGTTTTCACCACCAAACGACAACTGCACCCAATATGATTGCCAGAAGGTGAAGGATGAATTCATAGTTATGAGAAACCAAACTACATGTCCTGCATTTGACCCAGAAAACTGTGTTCCAGTGAGTATTAAGTGGCTTAAAGAAAGTTGATGTCATTGTTTTGGTCTAAGATGACAATATAGTATATAACATTTTTATAAATCTAATTTTTGTTTATGATTAGTTGGCTTAATAGATGCTTAAAATATGGCCAGTTTAATGTGTAAAACAGTAATAGCAATAAAATGTGAGGTGGGTCATCATTATACTTGAGCAAACAATAGGCACTGCACACTTCCAACACAGAAGTGTGACTTTATGAACACAGTCACGTGTAATTTTTTAATGTATTTCAGGGAACAGAAAGAAGTGACATGAATGGATGCTGCAGAACCTGTAAGTATCAGGTTATGGACTTGCAAAATACTACATAATGTTTCAAAAGATGTTAGTTTACAAAAATGTCAGCCTCCATTTACATTTTTCACAACTATAAATACAATTCGGTTTTAATTTTAAACTACTTTTAGGCAATAATTTATTTATTCCCTTAGCTTTCTGCAATAGAACGTGTCAATTGAGGATAATGAGGATGTAAATGCTTAGAATTTTGTCAAGCAGAGTAGAAGCCTAGAAAAGCAGAACATTCTTATTGATCTAATGGCCTTAAGCTCAAGATGGATTCTTTAGGTAGTCCATTATGTTTTCCTTCAAGTGTGTGTTTCTAAAACAAATTATTTGTGGTTCACAGGCACACCTCGCTACAACTGTGAGCTTCACAAGAACACTACCAAATTGTACGTAAACGACTGCGAGTCAGTTGAGCCAGTGGAGATCACATCCTGTGGGGGATCCTGTGAATCATCCTCATATATGTAAGATTTGTAAAACATTTAACTAAAGACTATGCAGCAGAATCTGATAAAAAATAATATGTTGACATGGATGTCTCTATCTTTATTTACAGGTACTCAATGGAGGCCAACAGTCTCATGCACTCTTGTACCTGCTGTCGAGAGATGGTTACCACCAAGAAAGAGGTGGAGATGAAGTGTCTAGATGGCAGCAAAATTAAACAGTCCTACATTACAATTGAAAAGTGTGGCTGCCAACCTGCTAAATGTAAAGAGTGGGGCAAACGTTGACGGGACACACAATTAAGGCAAACAATGGAAATTTTAACTCTATAGGGGAAACAAATTAGTACTTGTTTACAAACACTATGGGTGCTTTCATGCTTTGAAATATGCAGCTCTGTGGATCAAACTGATCCAAAATATTTTTAAAAGCAAGTGCTTATCTGGAAATTGTATTTAGGGTGAAATAGCTTTGGATGTATATTCATCTTTTGAGTAATAGTAAATTGCTGTATCTGCTGTTTCAAACTTCTGTCTTTGGTTCAATAAATTTCTAATGCATCAATGATCTGAGTGTTTTTTTACTATGTTAAATGTGTAACTCTTAGTACAATGCAATAGTTTTTTTTTATTCTTTTGCAATAACAGCATTTTAGTTGTCTGTTTTCAGTTGGCCATTATTACTATTTAGTTTGTTATAATTTGTTAAAACTGCATGATCTCAACATGTGGAGGGAGAATTAAATACTTTTACTTTATACATTCCTAAAAGTATTTTCTCCTTGGGGTACTTCTAAAATTAAAATTAAAATGAAACAAACTAAAATTACCATATTTATGTTCAGTTATTCTGTTTGGTAACTGTTTTGCTATGTCAAGATAACAAGGTCTCTTTCGTGTTTCTGAAAGATCCCCATTTAATAACTTGCACCATATTTTCAGAATGTAGAGTGGGGTTTTTCATTAAATAAAGAGACAAAATACATCAAGGTTTTTTTTTTTCTTCTTTCCAGTAAAATAAAAAAGTGGTTGTGACATAAGGTGCCAACTATTAACTTACCCACTGACTTTCCTAAGAAGTAGTCTTAAGCTTTTGACCACTCGTTTATTGTGTCTTCTTGCTCTCTAAATGGTCCAGAAGAAAAAAAATAACAAAGCTTGTGTACAAACAGGAAGTCTAATTTTTACGTAAATCAGATTAGTCTTGGTTTAAACAAGCTTCGCCGCTATTAAAGTTACTCGGAGTTGGTATAATTATCCAGGAATATAACTAAAGTAAGAATAGCAATACTCATACTAATTAAAAGTGAAACGCATGATGTAGTACATTTTTACATTTTTTTCCCTGTAAACGTAAATACAACAGTATAAGTAAGTTGCTCCTACTCACCTCTGCGTCACGCATTCTCAATTGGAAAAATGTATTTTTCTCAAAACCCCAAATGGCTGCAATTAACTAGAAACATGACTGCTTTCCTAATTATTTATCTCTGAAGACAGCAACATAAAATATTTTTATTGGAACACGTTGCTACGTTGTTTGAAGTTGCAACAAAACATAACGGCTAAATAATATGTTGTTCTGTGGCTCTACCTCTGCGTGGCGCTGAAGTCTTCTGTGGGGGAACGTTTCTGTGTGGAACTGTTTGTTGCCAGTTGTTCATCCGACTCGGAATCTTTTCAGTGTAACACGGCCTCTGGCAGTTATGTCGCCCGCCGGCGCAGGAGTCAGATCGTTGCCTGTTAGAGTAGTTTAAATAAATCTTAAAATTGTTCAGTCTGCAGTTTTGTTAGCCTGAAATACATATTTTCGACATTATGTGTTCCGTTCGAAGGACGTAATCGTTGCAGTATTGATCTATTTTAAGGTAAAGTAAGTTTGCTGCCGACTTCATCCTGAAGCTTTTTCTTTCTCTCTGTTAGCTACCGTCAGTCTGGTTAGCTGCTCTAAGGAGATGAAACTGTACACTTTACAGAGAATATATTAACTGTAAGGGGAAGAACGTATGTATTTAGCCTTTTATCATTTGTTTGACATAAATGTTTTGCTTATAGCTTTAGCACAAAGTTAAGTGCTGTAGTGAAATCTCCAGGCTCTCTTTGTGGCTCTTTGTTAATAAATTGTTCTTTCTAAGCTTTTTTTTCACGCTTTTGCATATGACCTGTTCTACCAGTTACTCTTTTGGGCCATGGCATCTCTGTCAGAGGAGGTTCTGCTGGTGGTGAAGAAAGTCCGTCAGAGGAAGCAGGATGGCACACTCTACCTGATGGCTGAAAGAATAGCCTGGGGTCCAGAAGGCAAAGACCGCTTCACTGTCAGCCATCTGTATTCAGACATCCGCTGTGAGTCCCTGCAGAAGTAAACACAAAACCTCTGTGCGTTTGTGTTGATTTCGAAATGCACTTTACTGTTCCATGTGTGCAGGTCAGAAGATCAGTCCTGATGGTAAAGCCAAGATTCAGCTCCAACTGGTCCTTCACACTGGAGATAGTACCACATTCCACTTTGCCAATGAGAGCACCGCACTTAAAGACCGAGACGCTGCCAAGGAGCTGCTGCAGCAGCTACTGCCAAAGTTCAAGAAGAAGGCCAACAAGGAGCTGGAGGAGAAAAACAGGTAAAAATCCTTCTGCAGTTTCAGACTGATCACATTCATCTAACTGGATTCTTTTAATGTTTCATCCTCTAGCATTCAAGAAGAATAACTCTTAAACATTTATCAATTGGAGACCCTGTGCTAAATATTTTATAAAATCATAATTGCACTCTATTGGGGAAACATTATTACATTGTTGTTTAAGATTGCAATAGTAGTATTGGCTCCAACATCATGGTGTGACCATTTTCAGCTATCTTGAACATCTCAATTAATAAAATGTATGACAGATTTGGGCATGAAAGGTAATAATTGTCAGAATTATATAGAGAATCTGGATGTATATAAATTGGATATTGTATTCAGATTCTCAATTGTTACTGCACTGCTGCACTTATTGATATTGCAATTAAGATTACAGTTTGATGTCTTCTGCTGCTCTAAAGTAAATGCTTTAATAGAACCACTCTGTTGTATGATAACGATTACACACTTAAGAACACTTAATTCTTTATGAACAAATTTTATTTGATGAAATACAATGACTCTTCAGGAAAGGAAGAAAAGTCATTGTATTTAAGTTAAACAGTTTGCTAAATCCTACCTTAAGCCAGTGTTTGTCCCTTTTTTTGTTTTTTGGTTTACTCTGTCCAAGAGAACGTTTTCTGTTGCTAAAGATTGACATGAGGACAAATGAAATACTTGGCAAAAAGTATGAATTGTCAGCAGCACTAAACAAGATTACTAATTAGATATCTAGAGCTGTCCCTTCTCTTTCTAAAATATCTGCCAAATAAATGTGGAGAAGATATTAACTTTCTGTTGGGCTTAAGCTAAATGATTGTGTAATGTTGGCCAGGTATTGCTGAACACTCACCAAACTTTATTTCGAGCTAATAAATGTATTAGCTCGACACTGTGTTGACTAATTTAAAGTGAAATGTGAGTTGGATGTGGGAATATCTGGAGGAATAATTTTTATATTTGCAAAACAGAAATTGTTTCATGTTTTAAGTGAATTTTGGTTGATGAAGATCAGAAGCATTAAATAGCTTTTGAGCATGTTGCAGAAGACAAAATTATCCACAAGACATTTATTTTTGTCACAGGAATTTAACAACTATAACTAATTAGTGTTAACATGGGCAAAGTTTAAATCTGAAACATTTTTTGTGTGATCAAAACAGAATAGAGGGTTGATTTTATGATATATCTGCAGTCATTAATCTTACGTAACATTAATTTGAGAGTGAATTCAGATCAGATTTGCTCTGCAGCTTTGTGTGGGAACTCACTGCTTACCTCTGGTGTTTGCTGCTGCTCCGGCAGGATGCTTCAGGAAGATCCAGTGCTTTTCCAACTGTACAAAGATCTTGTGGTGAGCCAAGTGATCAGTGCTGAAGAATTTTGGGCCAACCGGTTAGGAGGCATGAATAATGGCGAACCTGCACCTTACAACAACAAACAGGAAGTTGGAATATCTGGAGCATTTCTGGTGAGTACATCTAATATGATCCAGAATCACTTTATGCTTCCTTATGACTGTTTTGAGTATGTTTAAAAAAACTGCTGCACTTGAAAGGGCTTTATGTTTTTGCTCTACAGGCGGACATCAGACCACAGACTGATGGCTGCAATGGCTTGAGATATAATTTGACTGCAGACATTATCGAGTCCATATTTAGGACATATCCTGCAGGTAAACAAAAACAATGTCTTGTAAAAGAATCCATACCACTTGAACTTTTCTTATTTTGTCTTTTTTACAATCATAAACTTCAATTTTAACTTATTGGGATTTGATGTGTTAGACTAAAACAACGATGTGGAACAAAAGGATTATCAATATTCTTGACAAATAAAAACCTGAAAGGTGTAGCATTCATTTGCCATCAGCTCCTGTGATTTGGTGCTTTGCATAATTAACTTTCATTACTGTTAAAGCTGCAGTTCTTTCCTGGTAAAGATCAAACGGGTTCAGAGATGTAGAGACAGAAGTTTTTTCTGTAAAATAACTTGAACCCCGATTGATTAAAAGTGGTTGCAATTTTCAAGTCTTGGTCCAGATCCTTAGTTGTATTTTGGACTGAATTTTGACCAGGTTATTCTAAAAAAAGAATACACTTGTGCAAACAGATGTATAGCTCTGGCTTCATATTTAAAGTTAAAGTTGTTATCTTTCTGGATGGTGACCCTCCACCCTAGTCTAAAGTGTTTTGCAACCTGTTAGCAAGTTTTCTTCCATAGCATGACTACTGCATGTTGCTGCCATTATCATATTTCATGGGAGGGACAGAGTGATCATGGTTAGGATTAATACTGAGGTTAGATTACAAACAAGTTGACTCTATTTAGAAATGACATAACTTCTCAACTCAGTTAGTTACTCTAGATTTTACTTAGGGGTAAAAGCCCATTCAGCCCTGAATATAAATCCATCAGACTTTAATTTGTACAAAAAATTTACAAAAAAAAAAAAAAAAAAAACCCTTTCAATCTAAAATAAATTGCTTATTTCTAAACCTGTCTTGCAGTGAAGCAGAAGTATAGTGAAAATGTGCCTCATAACCTGACGGAGAAGGAGTTCTGGACGCGCTTTTTCCAGTCTCATTATTTCCACAGAGACCGCATCAACACAGGTTCACAGGACATTTTCTCAGAATGTGCCAAGCAGGATGAGAAAGGTAGCTGTTGACCACTCACACTGAAAGTGCAGGGTTATATTTTTCTTATTTAGTAATAATATTATACTGTTTTCCTAACATGCAGGGTTAAAATCTCTGGTGACCCAAGGAGTGAAGAATCCATTGGTTGACCTTTTGTCATTGGAGGATAAAACATTAGATGAGGTGAGAAAAATGTCCTATGTATTAACTAGTAACTTTATTCTATGTCCACCTTGAAAATAACGTTTTATTTTGAAACAGGGTTATGGAATAAGCAAAGCCCTACCTTCAACCTCAAATGC